TGCTCATTGGAAAGAAAGTTATGACAAGCCTAGACATTAAAAAGAGTTAAAGTATTAAAAAGCAAAGACATCACTTTGCCGACAAAGATCCATATAGTCAAAGCTATGGTTTTTCTAGTAGTCATGTATGGATGTGAGAGTTGGACCATAAAGAAAGCTGAGCGCCAAAGAATTGATGCTTTTGAACTGTGGTGTTGGAGAAGACTCCTGAGAGTCCCTCGGACTGCAAAGAGATCCAACCAGTCCATCCGAAAGGAAATCAGTTCTGAATAGTCATCGGAAGGACTGATGCTGAAGCTGAAGCTCCAGTACTTTGGCTACCTGATGCGAAGAGCCAACTCACTGGAAAAGACCCTGATGCGGGGAAAGACTGGACGCAAAACAACAAGAGGCCGTCAGAGGATGAGATGGTTGGATGCCATCACTGACTCAATGGACATGAGTTTGAGCAAACTCTGGGAGATGGTGAAGGACAACGGAACCTGACATGCTGTAAGCCATGGAGTTGCAAAGAGTCAGATGCAATTCAGGGACTGAACAATGAGAAGTTCTTTCCTTTCAGCGCTTTAAAACATGCTCTTTCACTTCCTGCTGGCCTCCATGGTTTCTGATGGGAAAAGCAAGTCATCCAAACTGCCCTTCCCCAGTAAGTGATATACTTTCTCTGGCTGCTTCTGAGATTTTTTTCTTTGTCTTTTTTCAGCACCGTGGTTATGACATGTCTGGGCACTGACTTTGTGAGTTCATCCTGTCTGGAGTTCACTGACCCTCCTGGTCCCCCGAATCTGTAGGTTTATATCCTTTGCAAGATTTGCAACACAATCAGCCCTTATTTATACTACCCTGTGTCAAGCTGGGGATACCAGAGGATGCAAAGAGTGGTTAAGTGTGACCCATTCAGCGGAGCTTCCGGTCTTCCTCTCCAAACCACCTGCTACTACTTCCTTTCCAGAATCTCACACTGCTGCTCCAGGTACTATGTTTATGTTCGAGTGGTACGGCTCCCTTCACTGGGAGAGACATGTTAGAGTATGCTTCATCCTTCTTATCTGTAACTGACATCTGATCTTTTTTGTAAACTGGTTCAAACTCATTTTCCAAATGCATAAGGGATTATAAGAAAGAATGAAGAAAGGTTTTGTTTTTAAATGAAATTAAATTGTTTTAGAATATACTTGTAGGCCAGCTACCAGTTACCTGCAGTGAGCACTCAAGCCTTTTCCTTCATGCAATTTATGATGCCTCACGACTTTCTGAGAACCCAGAGGTGAGAATGAATGTCACTTTTAAGTTGTCCTGGTTTTGCCTTATTCTGGGATTCTCTCTTAAACATCTAAGACCTGACTTGAAATTCCAGAAGGCCACTGAAGACATCCCATGTTATATGAACCCAAACACATGTACTCGTGTTTGCTCCCCTGACAGAGTTCTGTCCAGGATGATGAAGCCTGCAAACTTGTCCCCGCTGCTGCTTTCCTTGCCACAAGCAGCAACTGCCTCAGAGCCTGCCCAGGACTGAAACTTGCTGTTCAACCTCACTTCCTGACAACACTGCCAGTCCCCCACATCTGTATACACAGTGTGAGGCCTAAAAGAGTCACAGACTCTGTTCTGAAGCATCATCCCAGGTGTTCGCACTCTGGAGACCCTCTGATGTGTACTCAAATTACAAAGACTTGATATCACTTTTCAAACGGTCTTTTCTTTAAAAAAAAAAAATGAAAAGCACATGGAAAAATTACTGAAAGGAAAAACACCAAAATGCAAACAGTGATCATTTGGGGCGCAGTAAGATTCCAAGTGTTATTTTATTTCCTAATATTCTTATACATCTTCTACACATTACTATAACCAAGTCAACGTGTTAGTCACTATGTCCAACTCTTTGTGAACCCATGGACTGTAGCCCACCAGGGTCCTCTGTCCATGAAATTTTCTAGGCAAGAATACTGGAGTGGGGTACCATTCCCTTCTTCAGGGGATCTTCCCGACACAGAGATTGACCCGGGTCTCCCACACGGCAGGCAGATTCTTTACCGTCTGAGCCACCAAGGAAGCCCATAACCAAGGGAACATGGCTAACTTACCTAAGGAATCTACTCCCCATTTCCCAAAAACACAAGCAACTGGGAGACTACTCAGCCGCAACCACCTCTGCTGGCTATGCCAGGAACACCTCTTTAATAAGACTTTGTCCATGTGACTTCACTAGAGCAGAGGTTCAGGATTTTCCATCAAGTCACTACTTCTCAAACCTGACTGCACATAGGATTTGCCCCACCCACTGTGCATAAACACAAACAAAACACCTGTCAGGCTGGAAGGGCGGTGTCAGGAAGAGAAGTCCAATGGTTCTAAAGCTTCAGACCAGAAAGAGAAGGCCAAGGCTGTCATCTACCAAAACGGGGAAAGCTGCAAAGGGAACAGGTCTGACAGATCAGAAAAAAAGAAAATCAGAGTTTAGCTTTGGTGCCTGTTTACCAGGGAAGGCCTACCAGATGTCCAGAGGGAGCTGTTGGGCAGGCAGCCGGAGGCCCATGTGTGAGGCAGAGCTGGGATTCAAACCTAGCAAGTCTGACTCCAAAGTCCATGTTTTTAAATCACCACAGGATGCCACTTCTACTCAAGTACAAAGTATTTCCAAAGAGAAAGGGGAAAGGAATTAAGAGTCTACTAAATATCTTAATTATGCTTTAGCCCTAACTAGAGCTACTGCCACCATCTGGGATCACCAGTCTGGACACTCAGGCCCCAGGGATGGGCCCTCTGAAGCGGGGAGGGGAGGCTGGGAGAACTGATGCCTTTGAGAGCAGCCAGCTCCAGCCTGCGCCCAGGAGCTTCCTCCCAGTGCGGGAGAGGGCCTAGGGTGAGGGATGAGCGGCTCCAGCACACAGGACAGAGGCAGGGTTGTGTGAGGCACGCGGGTGCCGTTACATCCTTTATTATTGATGCTCAGAGCCAGGTGGCCCTCTTGTTTGCAGTATCATGTTACTACAGAATTAACTGGCCTATCACTCAGCTCAAAGGAACCCTCTAAGAACATAATCCACGTTCACCTTTAAAAAAGGGGGTTTGACGAAGATAGCAAAGAAATTCAAGCATGATGCAAGTGGCATTAAGAGCCATGGGAAAATCTACACAGCATAATGTATGTAAAAAGTATAACTTTTTAGAAAAGTGTAGATTTCTTTAAAAATTTTGTAACAGCTTAGCTACTGAGTTTCCTAAGAAACGGCAGAGCTGAGCTCTGCGTGTGAACACACATTTTAATTGTGCTATTTTAACAACCTACACAATAAGCGATCCAAATTCAAAATATAACAGTCTCTAAAAATGAATTCCAACACTGATTTATTTTGCAAGTCTCCTGGGTCCCGACAACTGCTGTAAGGAACATTAGACAACGTTTCAAACACCATGAATTTGCCGAAACATAAACAATGAAATCTGTACAAAGCCAGTCTGTGGTCTGAGCCAGAGCCCCACACAGTGCACCCCCAGACCTAACACGTCTATACTTGGACGGGCCACAAGGCTTAGCAGTCCCGCAACTTCCACGGGCACTGAGCCAGACCCCCTTCTCTCATCAGGCCAAGTCCAAGAGCCGCACACTTGCCAGGGGGCCTCCTCATTCCCTGCACAAGTGAAGCCCTCAGGGGCTCCCCACAGCCTCCAGGTCAGGGGCAGGCTCCAAGCCCCTCACATCCCACCCACAGGACGGCCTGCCCCCTGCGCCCCCACTGCACGAAGCCCGGAGCTCGGGCCGCCTGGCACCTGCCCCCTCCACTACCTGCAGAGGAGGAGCCACGGTGAGGGCCTTGGCACCGGAAGGCCTGGGGTTGAACTCCAGCTCCTCTGCTTCCCAGCTGCACACTCGCTCATCCTGGTCCCAGGGCGCCTTTGGTAAAATGAAGACGGTAACTAATTTCTTCTGGAGGTTGTGGTGAGTTTTAAATGAACTAGAAACCCTAGTGATGACTCATTTAACCCCAGTGTGTGTTCCCCATGGCGGCCCTGCCTCCCTCTCGGTAACCCTGCCCTGGAATCATTTCCGCACCAGAGGGGTGCTCTGGAGCGTGGGAGCAGTGCCATTTCTCTAACTCCAGGGCGATGCTCGAGGCTGGCTCTTAGAAAAGTGTCTACTGAACAAGTGTCAGTGGATAAAAAAACCGAAGTTCGGTGCTGGGGTGCCAGCTACTGACGGTGTCACAGCACTGGGCAAACGCACCACTGTCAGGACGGCTGAGACCCAGAGCCAAGCAGAATGTGCGGGTGGTCACAGTCAGGGTGGCTGAGGCCAACAAACACGCCCTGGCCTTGCTGAGTCTGTGCTTGAGCCTGCTCCCGGGAAGGAGGAGCGCCTGCCTCCAGGGCTGGCCCCTCCCCACAGGAGGCAAAGGAGCCCAAGATGGTGAGACACCACAGGCCTGGTCTGACCCTGAACCCCACCCTCCCCCAGGGCAGGTGGGCAGCTTCCGCCAGCGACGGGAAGGGGGTCACACGGCAGCCTGGGTAACGAAGGCCCTAGCCGCCCTGCTCCTAGGCGGCACGGGAATGGGTAAGTCCCAAACAGAGAATTCTTTAATATCAAACACAATTAATAAAAACTTGATCACATTTGTAACTCGTATTGGAAAAAAACTGATTAAATTTAATCAAGTTCTAAACAGCTAAAACCCTTGGGATCAGGAAGGGAGAATTCTTTAATATCAAACACAATTAATAAAAATTTGATCACATTTGTAATTCTTATTGGGAAAAAACTGATTAAATTTAATCAATTTCTAAAGCCCAGCCCTCTCAACTTTCCCATGTGCGCATACAAGCTGGAAGAAGAAGGTTGAAGTCACCCAGGTTCTGAAGACAGACTTAAATAGCAGGTACATGGCATGCAAGTTAAAACAAAGTTTCCAATTTCAAAGCCTCAATAATGGTCATTTATGCAAGGCTCATAAATGGATGCTGTACCCCATATTTCTGTGTCTTTGTATCCTGTATACCTTTTGTAACTTCTTTGAATCTTTCTGAGCATTCTCTCGAAGTGGTACTTTTCCAAATAACTTCCATCCCAAGTCATTTTGTTTTTCAAGTCTTGCATTCTGTTTTCTAGCAAGCAAATTCCTGTATGAAGAAAATAAGAGAGTTAGGAACTGCTGGATACTTACAGAAACACGAGGACAGCTGAATCACTCTAATGAAAACAAGCAGACTTTCCTTTGAGAGATCAATATGCTGAATCACAGACTTTAATTCTGCAGACTTGATTTTCATGTAGACACAGAATTATGAAGCAGGTGAAAAGCTCTTGAACCACAAGTAAGCTTTTTGTAATTCAATGAAAATATGTACAAGTTCTGTCACTGAGAGTAAGGATATGTATTACAGCATAATAAAAGTATATCCGGAAAAAGTGAGCTTTGAAGTCAGACCAAACTGAACTGAAACCGTGGCCCAGTCATTCACTAGCTGTGTGACTCTGATCTGTACATTAACTTCTCTGAGACTCACTTTCCTTATGTTTAACAAGGGTCACTATATGAATTAAAGCTACAGGTACATGATCAGTGCTCAAAGGGTAACAGCTGCTTTAGTACTAACCTGTAACTTAGTTTAAATTCTCTATAAGGTAAATCTATATTATCTATTTATAAAGTCTCCATGTATCATAAAAAGAAAGCCACTCATGAAACAGTCACATGATCTTCCCTCCCAACAACATATAAACAAACCCGAATAACACAAATAAATCCTAAATGGTGCTGCAAAATAAACTGTTTTGGAACGCACCGCATTGGCTCATTCATTGAAAATGAATGGTTTCTAGGGCCCACTGGAAAGTTTAAGATAAGCATGAAGCGTCTTGCGTGCTAGAAAGAAGGTGCTCAAAGAAATATGGCGACAGGTTTAACAAAAACAGTACCTGGCTTGAAAGGGCTCTCGCTGACTAAATATGGAAGGTGATCATCAAAATACATAATGACAACAAGGGATTATAACCCACCAAATAAAAAAAGAAATCCATGAGCCCAAATGGATATGGATACAAATAGGAAAATGAATACATGAGTGAAGGTGGAAGGAAAATTCTTAGAATGCCCCAAATAAGTATTCTTTCCTGAGAAATCCAATGGACAGAGGAGCCTGGCAGGCTACAGTCCATGGGGTCACAAAGAGTCGCACATGACTTAGCAACTAAACAACAACAGTGAGCAGAGAAAGACTGATGGACTTCTGGATTAGTCAATTAATGCTAAAACCAGTAGGTGAAAGCTGGATGAAGAAAAGGATTTTTACGTAGTTTGAAAGTATCTCCCACAAATTACTTGTTGATTACAAAGACAAAATTAATTACCTTCACAGTGGAGACACCTCCCTAGCCAAATGATCACAGTGGGCATCCCCAGCGTCAGATGGACAGCACAGGGCACCTCTCCTGATGCTGAGAACACCACACCAGGTTGATGGCAGTTCCCAAAAAAGGCACCCCTGAATATCACCATGAGGAGACGGGACACGCCGAGACAGGGACAGCCTATGAAAAGATGACTGACTCCAAACATGTCAGTGTCCCATGGGACAAAAGACACTGCCTATCATTTTGGTAAACAAAGAATGTTGCCTCCCACCAAGCCATCAGCCACTGTAGCCATCTCTAACGGTACACCCTGAGGGGGGTCAAGATGCAGAAAACCAGGATACTGGCCCCATATAGCAATGATGTATTTGAAAGGAATGATTTCAGTCAGCGCAGACTTCTCCATCTTCCCATACACAGAAAGGCTCTAAAGTCATTAACATGAGGTGGCTGTTTTTCGTGATCAGCAGTGATGTTTTGATGTTTCACTACATGGTTTTTTGTTTTTGTTTTCTTCAGCAAAAACTCCTCTATACCCTGGTTCCATCAAAGCTATCAGAGAGGCTGCCTTCCCAGGCTATAGTCCGCAGTAAGGCCACCTGATAAAACAAAATCCTCAGCTTTTAGGTGGCGCATTTCTCTCAGCTGACGAAGACTGAGGAACTGTCCAGATTAAAAGGGGGCTAAAGACCCAGGGGCTCCCCGGTGGCTCAGGTGGTGAAGAGCCCCAGCCAATGCAGGAAACGCAGGAGACGTGGGCGCTGTCCCGGGGTCAGAAAGATCCCCTGGAGGAGGGCGTGGCAACCCATGCCACTACTCTTGCCTGGATATCCCACGGACAGAGGAGCCTGGTGGGCTAGTCTACAGGGCTGCAAAGAATCTTGACGGGACGTGAAGCGACTCAGCACAGCACACACAAAAAGACCTGACAGTTAAAGGCAGGAGAATCGACTCAGCACAGCACACACAGAAAGACCTGACAGTTAAAGGCAGGAGGAGGGGGTGACAGAGGATGAGATGGCTGGATGGCATCACTGACTCAATGAACGTAAGTTTGAGCAAGCTCCAGGAGACAGTGAAAGACAGGGAAGCCTGGAGTGCTGCAGTCCACAGGGTCGCAGAGAATCAGACACAGCTCAGCAACCGAACAACAACAGGTGGATCCTGTTCCACACCCTGGACCATGGGCCGAAACAGGCGTAAAGAAGACTACCGGGCCAGCTGGCGCCATGTGAACACAGGCCACAGAGCAGAACAGCCCTGGGTAATATTACGTTTCCTGGTCTTGCTAGCTGTGCTGTGGTCACAGAAGAGAATGCCCTTCTGGTATACTTTCCGTTGGATCATAGGCAAAGCAAGATAATTTGAGAGAAACATCTACTGCTTCACTGACTACACTAAAGCCTTTGACTCTGTGGATCACAGCAAACTATGGAAAATTCTTAAAGAGATGGCAATACTAGACCACCTTACCTGCCTCCTGAGAAACCTGTATGCAGGTCAAGAACCAGTAGTTAGAATCTTACATGGAACAACAAACTGGTTCAAAATTGGGAATGGAATACAACAAGGCTGTATGTTGTCACCCTGCTTATTTTAACTTGTATGCAGAGTACATCATGCGAAATGCTGGGCTGCAGGAAGCACAAGCTGGAATAAAGATTGCTGGGAAAAATCTCAATAACCTCAGATATGCAGATGACACCACCCTTACGGGACAAAGCGAAGAGGAAACTAAAGAGCCTCTTGATGAACATGAAAGGAGAGTGAAAAAGTTGGCTTAAAACTCAACATTCAAAAAAATGAGATCATGGCATCCGGTCCCATCACTTCATGGCAAATAGATGGGAAACAGTGACTGACTTTATTTTCTTGGGCTCCAAAATCACTGCAGATGGTGACTGCAGCCATGATATTAAAAAGACGCTTGCTCCTTAGAAGAGAAGCTATGACAAACCTAAATGGTATATTAAAAAGCAGAGATATTACTTTGCCGACAAAGGTCCATCCAGTTAAAGCACTGGTTTTTCCAGTACTCATGTATGGACGTGAGAGTTGGATCATAAAGAAAGCTGAGCGCTGAAGAATTGATGTTTTTGAACTGTGGTGCTGGAGAAGACTCTTGAGTCCCTTGGACTGCAAGGAGATCAAACCAGTCAATCCTAAAGGAAATCAACCCTGATTATTCATTGGAAGGACTGATGCTGAAGCTGAAGCTCCAATACTTTGGCCACCTAATACAAAGAGCTGACTCACTGGAAAAGACCCTGATGCTGAAAAAGACTGAAGGCAGGAGGAGAAGGGGACAACAAAGGATGAGATGGCTGGATGGCATCCCTGACTTGATGGACATGAGTTTGAGCAAGCTCCGGGAGGTGGTGAAGGACAGGGAGGCCTGGCGTGCTGCCGTCCACGGGGTCGCAGAGAGTCGGACCCAACTGAGCGACCGAGCAACAGCAAAGGGATGCACCCCGCCCTCCGCCCATGCTCCCCACGACCCTCACGCGCACGCGGGACCCCTGGCTCACAGAGTGGGCGAGACAAAAGGAGCGAAATGCAAACAGCTGGGGAGTTTGGGTGAAGGAAATATGGAAGTTCCTTATATTTTTCTTGCAAAGTCTCTATAAATTTAAATTTATATCTCCCAAATGTTACAAAAACTTTCAAAAAAGGTTCTTTGTGTTCTTCCTTGCTTTTCTCTTGTGGTTTATAATGGAACGTATTCATAAGTTGGTTTCATATCCCCAAGGCAATGTCTATTTACATTTGTAAGAAATGATGTTTGAGGTGTCTCCAGGCCCAACCTGTTTAACATCTAGGATTCAGCCAGCGGCGAAAGAGACGTTCTACACATTTTAAACCACACTGAATCCTTTGGCGCCCAGAGGGGTCTAAGAATTTGGGCATCCAGAGCTTGGGTTGTAAGGGCTTATTACATTTTGCTAAATAGAGGAGGTGCCTCTGGGGAGGAGAACTGGGTGCCAAGGGGCAAAGGTGAGGAAATCAAAGGCACCTGGAAAGGAAAGGGCCAGGGACGAGAGGCCCACCTTCCCGAGGACCCTGACCTGACTGCAGGGACGGGAGTTGCTAAGGGTGTGGAGGGGTAACAGTAGGGAGCCACTCAGAGGCGACTGGGGACGGGGAAACGCAGAAAAACCCTGGGCTTTGTGATCCGGGAGGCTGAGTGTAAATCTCGGTGCTTTTCTCTGGAGAGGACTGACAGGAAGTGAACCAGGAGCAACAGAAACCTCGGTTTTCCTGTCCACTGCTAAGGCTACATAACGTCACACAAACAGACTGCAGATAAAGTCTTTTTTTCTTTTTTTTTTTTTTCAAATAAAGTTTATGAAAGCTCAAAGTGGTGGGACACCTCTCTGGCAGTCCAGAGGTTACACCTCTGCAGTTTCAATGCAGGGGCGTGGGTTCCATCCCTGGTTGGGGAACAAAGATCCCACATGCCACCCTGCGAGGCCAAAAAAAACACGAAAAATCAAAGTTGCATAATTACTTTTAGCATAAGAACTTGAGCTATACATTACAGGCCATGATTTTTGAAAGGTCTGTAAATGGTATCTTTGGATGTATTATTTTTTGTGTCTTGCTAAGGTCACCACAAGTACCCAGGAGCCCCGAACAGAAAGGACTGCCTCCGAGCTTCAGCTGCATGTCACCTGCAGCTCCAGCACTGGCGCAGGGAGCAGGGAGCCCAGCCAGCAAAGGCTCCCTGCCACCTGCTCCCCTTACCGGTCACGGGCACGGGGAGGCT